ATGGGGCTTGAACTCACAACCCTGGGATTGATTAAGCAACATATGCTCTACTGTCGGGGCCAGCCAGGTACCCCTATTTTGCAGAATTTTTGTTTTTCTTTTTTGGAGAAGAATTTTTGTGTGATAAATTTACACTGAATATTATTTTCACAGCTTTTTTTTTAAGATTTTATTTATTTGACACACAGAGAGAAAGAGAGCACAAGTAGGCAGAGCGGCAGGCAGAGGGAGAGGGAGAAGCAGGCTCCCCGCGGAGCAGAAAGCCGGATGTAGGGTATATGGGGCTCGATCCCAGGACCCTGGGATCATGACCTGAGCTAAAGGCAGACGCTTAACTGACTGAGCCACCCAGGCGCCCCTGTTTTCACAGCTTTATTGGAGTATAATTTTAAGTCTATGTTTCAGTGATTTTTTTTTTGAGATTTATTTACTTGACACAGAGTACAAGCACAGGGAGTGGCAAGGAGAGGGAGAAGCAGGCTCCCTCCTAGCAGGGAGCCCGATGCGGGGCTTGATCCCAGGACCCTGGGACCATGACCTGAGCCAAAGGCAGACATTTAACCGACTGAGCCACCCAGGCGCCACCAAGAACTTTTTCTTCATCCCAGAGATTCTGTTCCCATTACATAATAGCTCCTCACTGCCCTGTCTCCACTTGCATTCATGGGTAGCCTCTAATCTACTTCCTGTCTCTGTGAATTTGCCTATTCTAGGTATCTCATGTAAGTGGAACCATAAAATACTTGTCCTTTTGTGTGTGACTTACTTCAGTTTGCATGTTGTTTTCAAGATTCCTCCATGTTTGATTGGATTTTGAGGCAGAATGGCTAGATGAGTAAAAAGCAAGTAAGGAAAATTTTGGTCAGAGTTCTCAAGGCATGTCTTGGGAAAGACTACTTACCTTAGACATTTGAAATATCTGTTTTCTGGGGGCACCTCGGTGTCTCAGTCGTTAAGCGTCTGCCTTCGGCTCAGGTCACGGTCCCAGGGTCCTGGGATCAAGCCCTGCATCGGGCTCCCTGCTCCGCGGGAAGCCTGCTGCTTCTCCCACTCCCCCTGCTTGTGTTCCCTCTCTCCCTATGTCTCTATATGTCGAATAAATAAATAAGATCTTTAAAAAATATATGTTTAGGGGTGCCTGCTCCACAGGAAGCCTGCTTCTCCCTCTCCCACTCCCCCTGCTTGCATTCCTTCTCTCGCTGTGTCTCTCTCTGTCAAATAAATAGTCTTTAAAAAAAATATATATATATATATATGTTTAAAAAAATATATGTTTGGTTTCTCCCAACTTCTAGTGTATCTGTTTATTTCATTGGAGTATAATGGGGCGGGGAGGTATTTGAGCAGTGTTCAACTGTTTATATAAGCATCTGAGAAGCCAGGATGATGATGGTGTCCCAGACTCCCTTCAACTCTTGGTTATTGAAGTTTTGTTGCTTTGTTACATATTTTCAGTGCTCATGAATATAATTTGCCCCAAAACTTGGAACACTGTGCCATATTAATTTGCATTTATATGTCTTGCTGTGTTCTTTTCTGGAGTATTTTTTGCATCTAGGTGTATGATCAGTTGAGTAACAGACTTTTCCCACCTGCAACTTCCCAGTGGACCTCTCAGTATGAGATGTTTTGTTTTTTTAAAGATTTTATGTATTTGTTTGAGAGGGAGAGGGAGAGGGAGAAGCAGACTCCCCACTGAGCAGAGCGCCTGATGTGGGACTCGATACCAGGACCCTGGGATCATGTCCTGAGCTGAAGGCAGACGCTTAACTGACTGAGCCACCCAGGTGCCCATCAATATGAGATGTTGATCAAGTTCCCTGGAACAATGTTACTGTGGAGTTGGGACTTAACTTTTGATGTTCTGTAGCATTCAGCTTTCCAGTTTCCACCTTGTGGGTATTTTTCAGAAGTAAACCACTTCAGAAATAACATGTATCAAAATACCAGATCTTTAGGGGGACCTGTAGCTAAACACTGTTTGTATATTCTATAATATGTCTCCTATCTGAAGCTGTTAAAACTAAGAGGATATGGAGAAGTTGGAACCTCATGTGCTGCTGGTGGTGACGTAAGATAGTAGGGCCCCTTTGGAAAGCAGCCCAACACTTCTTCTAAGTGTTGAACAAAGAGCTACCATGCAGCCCAGCAGTTCACTCCTAGGTCTTTACACAGGAGAACTGAAAACATGTTCATACAAAAACTTGTACACAAAAGTTCATAGCAGCATTGTTCATAATAGCAAAAAGGGGAAAAAACAAATGTCCATCAGCTGATAAATGGATAAACAAAATACATCTATACAAATGGAATATCATTTGGAGATAAAAAGGTACAAAGTAATAACAGGCTACAAACATGAATGAACCTTAAAAACATGATGCTCAGTGAAAACCAGTCACAAAAAAAAAAAAAAAAACCCACGTATGGTTCCATTTATATGAAAAGTCCAGGGGTGCCTGGGTGGCTCAGTCAGTTAAGCATCCAACTCTTGATTTCGGCTCAGGTCATGATCTCTCAGGGTCATGAGATCAAGCCCCACATCTTCCTCTGCGCTGGGCATGGAGTCTGCTTAAGATTCTTTCCCTGCGGGGCACCTCAGTGGCTCAGTCGTTAAGCGTCTGCCTTCAGCTCAGGTCACGATCCCAGGGTCCTGGGATTGAGCCCCGCATCGGGCTCTCTGCTCAGCGGGAAGCCTGCTTCTCCCTCTCCCACTCCCCCTGCTTGTGTTCCCTCTCTCGCTGTGTCTCTCTCTGTCAAATAAATAAATAAAATCTTTAAAATAAAAAAAAAAAGAAAAGAAGAAACATTACCCAAAAATTCAGAGATCTGGCTTCTGATTTTTTTCTGATCTCCAAAATGTCTGTTTCCTTTTGTTGGATTTTTTTTTTTTTTTTTTTGGTCTCAGAAAAGGATCAAATAGCTCTTATTTTATTCCTCACTACAAGAAGGAAGATGCCTCAAACACAAACCCAATTTTCTTTGCAAGAGTACCAGTTAACACTGGCAGTTTTGTCTGTTGTCCTTGAGTCTGTGAATTATTGGGTCTGATCTCATGTTTTAGGTATAGAAGTCATAACCCTAGGGTATAGAAATTAAATTTTGTTGAGCATCTTCTGAGTCCCCACTTTTCCAGATAAAATTGAGATTTAGGGAGGTAAAGTAACTTATTAAATATTTGACCTTATAAAAGTAATTAGCAGTTTGATCCTATGTTTCTATGACTCAAAAAATGTTCCTTCCAGTGCCTCATTGCTGTTTCCTACCAGGAAAATAGCCCTGGATTTAAAAGTATGGAAGAAATTCTGCATTTAGATTTTGTTAGCATAAAAAATCAAAGTGAGAGGGAAAATGTTAATTTTCTTGCCTTTTATATTTTTTCTGCATAAGTAGAGAAAGTATTACCTCTTATCAGCCTAAACACCTGAGTCTTTCATTAAAGCCAAGTATCTTTTTTTTTTCTAAGTAGGCTCCATGCCCAGTGGGCTTGAACTCACGACCCCAAGATCAAGAGTCACCTGCTCGGGGCGCCTGGGTGGCTCAGATGGTTAAGCGTCTGCCTTTGGCTCAGGTCATGATCCCAGGGTCCCGGGATCGAGTCCCACATCGGGCTCCCTGCTCAGCCGGGAGCCTGCTTCTCCCTCTGCCTCTCTCTCTGTCTCTTATGAATAAATAAATAAAAATCTTAAAAAAAAAAAAGTCACCTGCTCTACCAACTGAGCCAGCCAGGCACCCCCTAAAGCCAAGTATCTTAAGATATTGAATCTGTGGGCGCCTGGGTGGCTCAGTTGTTAGGCATCTGCCTTTGGCTCCGGTCATGATCCCAGGGTCCTGGGATCGAGCCCCATGTCAGGCTTCCTGCATCAGGCTCCTGCTCAGCGGGAAGCCTGCTTCTCCCTCTCCCACTCCCCCTGCTTGTGTTCCCTCTCTCACTGACTCTCTCTGTCAAATAAATAAAATCTTTGAAAAAAAAGATACAGTATCTGTAGAGACTTGCTGCATCTAGATAACTGAGGCTTCCCGTTAAATGCTCTTTATTCCATCTTTCTCATAGTCCTCCATAAGATAGGCCAATTAAAGTTATACCTGGGTGACTTGAGGAACTTTCCCATTCATAAAAGAGTCTTTTCCAGGAGAATTTGGTATGATAGTTAAAACCAATGTATCTGGGACACCTGGGTGGCTCAGTCTGTTAAGTGTCTGCCTTCGGCTCAGATCATGATCCCAAGGTCCTGGGATCGAGTCCTGAGCCCCTCTGCCACTCCCCCTGCTTGTGCTCGCTCGCTCTCTCTGACAAATAAAATCTTTAAAAAAAACCAACAACAAACCAACGCATCTGACTTTGAGCATACAGACACAAAAAGCCAATCACAAAAAAAATGTTTATTTTCTGAGAGATGTAGGCTTTTAATGGACCATCCAGGTGAGTGTAGTGGTGATATAGTAAGGACCTTGATGACTAGAAGGTAGTTGAAGTTTAGTTTCCACTGCTAAAGTTGACAATAGAGAAATCTCCTTTATTATAGGTGTTTTGGGAAGATAGAAGGTAGGTTAGCTCAGTGACCTTTGAACTTCCATGTATCTATGATTATTTTTTTGAAGTAAGCTCTACCCATAATGTGGGGCTTGAACTTATAACCCTGAGATCAAGAGTTGCATGCTTGGGACGCCTGGGTGGCTCAGTCGGTTGGGCGTCTGCCTTCGGCTCAGGTTATGATCCCGGGGTCCTGGGATCGAGTCCCACATCGGGCTCCCTGCTCCGTGGGGAGCCTGCTTCTCCCTCTGCCTCTGCCTGCCTGCTGCTCCCCCAGCTTGTGCTCTCTCTCTCTCTCTGTGTCAAATAAATAAATAAATAATCTTAAAAAAAAGAGTTGCATGCTTTACCAACTGAGCCAGCTGGGTGTCCCTGTGATTCTTCTGAGTACCTCTTCCACCACCCTAGTTCCTTACAGACCGTTGAAGGGGCTGGGTTCTGATCTCACTTGTATTTTCCTTTCCGTAGGATGGATAGAATGACAGAAGATGCTCTTCGCCTGAACCTGTTGAAGCGGAGCTTGGACCCAGCGGATGAGCGAGATGATGTCCTGGCTAAGCGGCTCAAAATGGAGGGGCATGAGGCCATGGAACGCCTGAAAATGCTGGCACTGCTGAAACGGAAGGATCTGGCGAATCTTGAGGTGCCACACGAGTTGCCCACCAAGCAGGATGGCAGTGGTGTCAAGGGCTATGAAGAGAAGCTCAATGGGAATCTCAGGCCTCACGGAGACAACAGGACTGCTGGAAGGCCCGGCAAAGAAAACATCAGTGACGAGCCTGTGGATATGAGCGCGAGGCGGAGGTACGGCACTGTTCGGGTGCCTCCTGCAGTGGGGTCTCCTCATAAACTAAGCCTGTGAAAATGGGATGAATTCCAGTGAGAGGAGGTGCTTCTGGAAAGAAGATGTATGTGTGCCATTTGGCTTGGCCATGAATTCCTCTCACTTCCAAATGAAACTTGGTGCCTCGTATATCAGCTTAGCACAGAGAATCCTATAGTTAACACCCTTAAGATAAAGGTCATTTCTGGATGAAGGAGGCACCATAGAGCTGGAAGTGAGATGAGGCGGGCTTCATTCTTAGGGCCATTTTAGGAAGGCAGCAGACTTTCCTTCAGGTCACCTTGAGAGTTTTAGAATCTGTTTGTTACGGAGTCCCCACTTCTGTTACATCCAGAAGCATGGGCCCAGCTTCTCTTTTGTGAACAAGGAAATTGTCTTCATGTGCTAATTCTCTGCATTCTTGCTTTATGCCGCTCTCTTCAACCTCTACATACACATAAACATACATACACACTTGTGCATGTACACTCTCATGCACACGTTTTCACAGGACTTTTTTCTGGTGTCTGTTAAGGCTGAGTGCTTGAAACAGTGAGAGGTACCGGCTGAGGGTGATGACTTCCGGGACAGTGAATCCCAGTGTAGACAATCCTAGCTTCAAGCACATTCCGTTTATTAATAGTTCAGATATAGCTGATAGGGCATGAGAATGATCCTTTAGTGTCCACTTGCCCTTCAGCTGGCCTTGCTGAATTTGTCCATGACTGAAGGGGGAAGAAAGGGACAGTTAGAGCCTTACCTGGGATTCTTTCTCTAGCTTTAATGTTTACTTACTATTACCGTCCCAGGATTATTTTTTTAAACCACACCCAATGAGGGAACATTCTTTTTGGTAATAGCATTTAAAACCCTTAGGAAACTTTAAATAAATTCCCTATTCGTCATAAAAGAGGAGAAAGATCCTTGGGTAGCTTGGAAGCTATATGTAGTGTCAGCAGAATATTATGGAAATAGATTAATTCTGAGATCCTTTGGGGAAAAAAGAAAGCAGATGAATGAGATCATGCCCCTGAGCAACCCACTTGCCCATAGCCACCGTCACCCTTCTGGAGCAAGTACTGATCCTACTTGGGAGGAGGAAGATGACAAATGTTGGATGGATTCCTCACATCCCAAGTTGGCCCTGAAAAATGCATTTTTCATAGAAACATTGCTATACATTTTGGTGAGATCTCAGTAGTGCTATTAATTGGTATTAAATAAATTTTCAAAATTCTATGTTGGAAAGTCAGACTGCCCTGAAAACCCTACCATTGCATTTAATTTTATTTTAGGGATGAACTTTTGAAACTTGATCCTCTGGAAACCAGGAACTGTTTTTAATGGTCTCCAGGAAAAGAGGGTTAATGTAAACTATCTAGATTCCCATTCTACGTGGAAAAATAGGCCCCACTGGCCCCTGCCACTCTTCTCCCCTTTCACCAGATAAACCGACAGGTATTTCCACTTAGCCCCAAGCTTTTTATAAGAATGAACAGGATTGATAGATTGTTCAGCGAGAAGAACAGCAGTGTCTTTATCTGGATAAAAGAAGACAATTTAAAAGCAGAAAGAATGAAGAGCCCCTGACATCAATGATAGCCACATCATACTTGCCTAAATTTTTTTTTTTTTTTTTGCCGTCAGTTGGGCAGGTTACAATGTATATGAAATAAGGCGTGTGTGAAACCAGTGCTTGCTTATATTTTGGAATGCTAGAGAAACATGGCCATTTTCTTTCTGTTTAATTGTTTTTACAACTGGAATGAGGATTAGAAGTTACATAGCTTTTGGGAATCTGCCAGTCTGGTTCATAAGTGAGGTCAGCAACAATTCAGGGTTTTAGTAATCTCCAACAGGTAAAGTTTCATATTTAAGAACACCAAATAATGTAAATCATATACATATTTGGGAAAGTAGCAAAATAATTTCTGTCCCCGGAAGGCTTAATTAATGAGACCAGAATCTCAAGTCAGATGTAAAAAAACAAAGAATGAAACAAAACTTGACTTGGGTTTTGCCTTGCCTGTGCTGTTATCTATTGTGGGTCTGATTATATCCAGGAATAAAATATCATTTAGTTGGGGTTATTCTCAGATACAACTCCTTGATAAATGCTGCTTGGTTCCACAGTCTCCATCCAGGAATGTCTCTACCTGTCTTGTTGCTGGGCAGTCCATCAGCAGTGGGTGGCATTCATTTGAGCAAGGAGGAATTCTTAGAGATAATATTGATGTATGTATTCCAGCCAGGACCAGAATGGAAGGAGCTTTGGACTGTTGATGTAAATAAACATTGGGATATCAAGTAGAATTAGAAATCCACCAGATCTCAAAATTAGTCATCTGTGTTAGTGTTAGGGATGGGAGACAGGGATGAAGGAATATAGAAATGAAAAATGAAATCACCAGAAAATAAAATCAAACACTGTGAGGCCTGACCATTATTCCAGCAACTTGGGGTCAGAGAAAAACGGGCTCTTCTCCCTCTCCTGGCTTCTTTTTCTGTAACCTCACATCCTCAGCTTGCCATCTGTGACTAGTGATTTTAGAGCAATCCAGACGAATGTCATAGTTCCCAACATAGTCACACATGTCACTCTGTCCCTTTATTCTATCTTCTCAGCTAAATTTGTTTGATTTTACTAACTCTGTTTTACCCTGTTGAGAAATTGGATGTTCACCCCATCTAGGCAGGGTGCCCTGTTCAAAAAGTATCTGTGACCCAACAGCTGGGAGAAGAGACCCAGAGGAATGGTAGAGAGGCTCACAGGACTAAAGATCTTTGGGTGTTAGGGATTCGAGTTTCATGTTTAAGTTACAACTACAAAATTGCTTTAGATAATATGTTTTCCTAACTACACTGAAGATCTCGAGGAAGTAGGTTCTGGGAAGATATCTTTGAGTTAAGAAATCAGAGAGTTAGAAGATGTGGTTTTTGATTTGGGAACCTGAGGCAGTTAGAATCTCCAGAATTCGGTGCCATTTTATGATGCTTTTATGGCTAGCCCCAAAAGACCAAAACTACAATTGTCTAATAAATAAGATTGGGAATACAGGGACCCAGTGTGGAAGATTTAGATTTCAAAGTCGTTTCTAGAGAGTTTCTTGCTGAGGGAAGATGCTAAGTGGAAGTCTGGCAAGTAGATGCATTTTGGAGTTTCAGTCCTCCAGAAGGCTGTAGACTTGGCACTGTCCATCCCTTCAAGCAGCTGACAACAGTACCTTCTTTTGCCTTAACTCGTGACAGGACAGACTACCATTAGGGTTGTCATAAAACCTCCTCTTCTGTGAATCCTCATTTAGCCAGGATCGTGGTGTTATGGGCGTAATGAGCTTAGGACCCTCGTTAGCACTGTGCCCCCGCCTTTGCCCTTCCGGCTAGCTGTTTCCTTCTTGAGCCTCTACATAACTAATGAGACAACCCAAAGGAGAGTGAGATATAGGGGAAACACTTAGAATTTTGATTCAGATCAACGTGATAAGAACACTCACCTCTTACTCCCATTTCTGAAGCCAGTCACTGTGTGTGTGTCTTGTCCCTACACAAGGAAATTGGATGGAAAGTACTGTGACTGAGGCTTTAGCACCACTTCTGTCTTGGTATTTTCTTCATCCTAGGATTTGAATCCCCTGGGTGCATTGGGACAGACCTAATAAGTTCCCTTGAATTTCTTTGTTCAGTACAAAAAAAAGTTTTAACTTTTCTATGAACCTTCACTGTTGAAATACCTTAATTTTTTCTTGTCTAGTGAGCCAGACCGAGGAAGGCTGACTCCCTCCCCAGACATCATTGTTTTATCTGATAATGAGGCTTCCAGTCCCCGTTCCAGCTCCCGAATGGAAGAAAGACTCAAAGCAGCCAACCTAGAGATGTTTAAGGTAAAAAAAAGAGAGAAGAAAGAAAGAAAAAATACCTTTCTTCATTTTTTGCTCCTCCTATTTTAAGAGTCCCAGTTCTGTGTTTTTATAGTTTACTTTTTTAATCTAAGTAATTACCCATTGATGAAACTTTTTATAAGTGATTCTCAACCTCAAGGGCATGCCCTTTAATTTTTTAATTTGTTTTATTTTTCAAAGATTTATTTATTTTTATTAGAGCACAAGCGGGAGAAGGGACAGAGGGAGAGAGGGAATCTCAGGCAGATTCCCCACTGAGTGCAGAGCCCAACACGGGGCTCGATCTCACGACCCTGAGGTCATGACCTGAGCTGAGATCAAGAGTCGGGTAGTCAACCAACTGAGCCACCCAGATGCCCCTAAAGACTGTTTTTAAGATTTTATTTATTTATTTGGCAGAGAGAAAGCACAAGCAGAGGAAGCGACAGGTAGAGGAGAGGGACTGCTTTCCTTTAAAATAATGTTTCTGGATCTTCTTAAGCCAAGTTTCTTCTAGATATACATAAAAACTGAGGAATCCCTTCCTATTATGAGAACCAGGATAGAGTGGTTCCAGCCAAGAGTTTATTTTATGTGACTTACGAAGTTTTGTTTTCATATTTTCCAAAGATGAGTTATACTGAATAAACTTTGTCAAACTATCCTTTTCACTCCGTTCTAATTCCCTGTAAAAGGGCATGCCCTTGGGGTGCCTGGCTGGCTCAGTAGGTAGGTGGGACATGTAACTCTTGATCTTGGGGGTTGAGGTTCGAGCCCCATGTTGGGTGTACAGGTTACTTAAAAATAAAATCTTTAGGGGCAGGGCGCCTGGGTGGCTCAGTTGTTAGGCATCTGTCTTCGGCTCGGGTCATGGTCCCAGGGTCCTGGGATCGAGCCCCACATCGGGCTCCCTGCTCAGCGGGAGGCCTGCTTCTCCCTCTCCCACTCCCCTGCTTGCTGTGTCTCTCTCTGTCAAATAAATAAATAAAATCTTTTTTTTAAAAAAGGAAAGCAGCGTCTCCCTGTGGCCATTCTTCTGTTTTGCCAGAAATCTGGTTGATTATGATTTATCTGTGGTCTCTCCTTTCATTCTGTAAGCATTTTTTGAGCACCTGCTGAATACCAAGCACTGTGCTGGAATCCAGGGACACAAAAATACCAGTCCCAGTGCTGCTTCTGCTTGGTGTGGAAGATGATTTCAGACCGAGAAGAAGAGATCATCTTGCAGGAAGGGACTCTGTCTGGGTGCCTGCTCCCATAGCTAGCCCTCCTGTCTCCTTAGGGGAAAGGTGTGGAGGAACGGCAGCAGCTCATCAAGCAGCTGAGGGATGAGCTGCGATTGGAGGAAGCCCGGCTGGTGCTGTTAAAGAAACTGAGGCAGAGCCAGCTACAGAAAGAGAACGTGGTCCAGAAGGTATTATGCCCTAGTAATACGGGTCTGGGTTTGAGAATGGACTCCCCCAGGTAGGTTCAGTTGGGTGGCCCATTCTTCTCTGGTTCCATGGTTTTTAGTTTCTAAGAATAGTGTTTTGTTTTGTTTTTTTTTAATCTTCGGCTTTAATCAAGAAAGCCTTGATTCCATTTTTCTCATTTTTCCTCTGGTCAACAGAAGCTTTACTCCAACAAGGAATTTTAAAAGTCTGGGAGTGTTCCAGATTTCTGCCTCTGTTTCATTGTCTTTTCTCTCTCTCAGACCCCAGTTGTGCAGAATGCAGCATCCATTGTTCAGCCATCTCCTGCCCATGGGGGACAGCAGGGCCTATCCAAGCTTCCCTCCCGGCCTGGGGCCCAAGGGGTTGAACCACAGAGTCTGAGAACATTACAGGTATGTGACCCACCTTGGGGTCTTTGTGTCGGAGAGCCCTGTCTATCCCATCTCTGGTTTGGGACTTTTGTGACAATTCTAGAGGAACCTGGCCATATTAGGGATGCTGTTACTCAGTCCTGGGTCCCTCCTGGCATGACTTGGTATGTGGTACTAGGGGGCATAGTAGGGTGAATAATCCTTCTCTTCCCATTGTGGTTTTTCTTATCTGGATGTTTCTAGCTTAGCCCATTTCCATCTAGGGTTAGAAAGCTTATACCAAGAAAAACCAGGGAATTCCTACCACTAATCAGGATTTACATTGATGGTACATTTATTCCTTAGATCATTAGACAAAATTACCAACTCTGTGTTTCCACTCAGCTATGTGTTACAGACAGTGTTAACCTCATTGGCATTTTACCAGCTATGACTACTTCTTTTCCTCTTCTCCCCCTTCAGGGTCACAGTGTCATCCGTTCAGCGACCACTACCACCCTCCCACATATGTTGATGTCTCAACGTGTTATTGCACCAAACCCAGCCCAGCTACAGGGTCAGCGGGGCCCACCCAAGCCAGGCCTTGTACGCACCACAACACCCAACATGAATCCTGCCATCAACTACCAACCGGTAAGAGAGCCCTCATGTGGAAACAGAGAAGTCTTTTATTGCATTCCCTGTTGAAAGGACCATAGTATTTAGGGGTTTGGACATAGAGAACCTGTAGGACAACCCAGGGTAGTTTTGGTGGAGCTTGAATTGACAGCAGTCCTAAAAGTGGTAGCACAGGGGAGTTCCTTGAGGACAGGAGTGGACAAAGGGAGGCTGTACAGCAGAGCAGCGGTGAGCCTGACACCTGCCTGGAAGAAAGCAGGGGCCTGGGGAAGAAGAGGCATAAGGACAAAGGACAGAGAGCATCCCCTTGTTTTCAACTCTCAGCAGTTGTCAGTCCTAGCCACTATCATTCTCCTTTCCTGTGTGCTGGAGATCTTTTTCATTGAGGTTGGACACCTCCTATCTTTTCCTGAGTTTTGGGAGAGCTAAGCAGTCCAGACGAGGCTCAGATAATGTTTTCTGCCGTGAAAGCAAGACTTGGTCCTTGCTCCCACATCCCGTCACTGACCCCTGTGCTCCCTGCATTCCAGCAGTCGAGTTCTTCTGTTCCCTGCCAGCGCACAGCATCCTCTGCCATCTATATGAACCTTGCCTCCCACATCCAGCCAGGGACCGTGAACAGAGTGTCCTCACCACTTCCTAGCCCCAGCGCCATGACTGATGCTGCCAACTCCCAGGCTGCAGCCAAATTGGCTCTTCGCAAACAGCTGGAAAAGACACTCCTGGAGATTCCACCCCCTAAACCTCCCGCTCCCTTGCTTCACTTCCTGCCTAGTGCAGCCAATAGCGAGTTCATCTACATGGTGGGCTTGGAAGAAGTTGTACAGAGTGTCATCGACAGCCAAGGTGAGGCTACTTCCTCTGGTCAGTCTTTTATCTGAGCAAGAGGCTGCCAAGCCTGATTGACAAGTGACCTCTCCTTACTCTTGCCAAACCACCTGTCATTCGTTATTCAGAGGCTGTTCGGGAGCAACACAGCAGAAATGCTTTTTGTGTGTCTATATAGCTTAGGCTTCATATTTTTACTGTATTTTGTGTATCTTGTATAGTTTTTGCAGTATATTGTTTAGTTCTTTTCAACGGTGCCTAGCATGATGTATGCATAATTTGATGACTAGAACACTTACTGTTGATGTCCGTGTTTGTGTGGCATTGTGCTGCATTATCATGTTCAGTCCCTGCCGTTTGAGTCCTTAGAGTTGAGAAAGTAGACTTACTGAAGGAGATAACTCTGACCACATAAAAGCTGTGAAGCAGCCCTGAACCAAACTGTGAAGTATTAACACTAACAGAAGTTACTAAGCCTGAATTTCCAAACATGGGGACTTAGGGGGACACCTGACAGTAGAAGAAAGTGCCTGAAAGTATTGACTCTAAACAGATCACAAAGTGAGTGATTCAGACATTGATAGCTAAAACTTGTGAATGTCTGGGCCGGGGATAAGTGCAGTCTGACGTCAAAAGATGCTGTGAAGCAAAAGTGTTGGTGGAGTTGGATGGATCCAGTGTCCTCTGAATGAAGCAGGTTTCTGTCTCGCTGGCGGACGAGGGAGTCCGGGAGCGTGGGTTCTTGGGCCAGCTTTGTCATGAGCAGCCACGCTCCTCAGACTTGGCTTCCTCGTCTGTGAACGGGGTGCTGTGCTCTTGAGTTCCCTAAGGTGACGTTGTTACAATTGAATGAAATAAAAGTATCTTCTAAACTGTAGAGTCTCCTTCTTACTTCAGCAGAATAATCTGAAAAATTGATTTGATGAAGAAACAGGAGGTGGGGAGTGTGAAAGCCCTGCTGATTCTTTTTGTTGGCATCCAGGCAAGAGCTGTGCCTCTCTCCTGCGGGTTGAACCCTTTGTCTGTGCCCAGTGCCGCACAGACTTCACACCCCACTGGAAGCAGGAGAAGAACGGCAAGATCCTGTGCGAGCAGTGTATGACCTCCAACCAGAAGAAGGCTCTCAAGGCCGAGCACACCAACCGGCTGAAGAACGCTTTTGTTAAAGCCCTGCAGCAGGAACAGGTCAGAATTCTGACTTCTCCCAGCCGCCTGCTCAGGTTGGGCTTTCCCAAAACGTAGTTCTTTCTAGTTTAGTGGAGTTGTCTGTGTGATCCCCATGGTCCCCAACGACTTAGGCTCCTGGTACCTCAGGCCTGGGTTCCCTGTTTGTCTGCTTCCCATTTCCACTTGACTGTCTCTGGTTGGGCGACGACAGAGTGGTCCAGGGTGGGGAGGGACCGAAGGCTCAGATGTGGCTTTCCATCCCGAGTGGCACCAAGGAAGTCCCTCCATTCACTCAACTTCATTTCCTCCTCAAACAAATGGATTTTGGTGGGAGGGGTTTATACCCGAACCTCTTGGAGAGACAGAGTCTCTCTAGTCCGTGTTAGGCAAGGAAACGACAGTGGAGAGAGTGAACTGTGACGTGGCCCGGAGAAGAGCAGTGAGTGGACCTGCCCTGTAGTGTTAGCGGAGTCAGGACACCCGGGAGAGGGGAGGGTGTGTTGGGAGGCTTGGATCGTTCTCCTCTATCCCGTCTCCACCCCACCACTCATCAGACCCCTTTGGGTAGCAGCACGGATCTTCTGGAAAATGGGTAGACAAGAGTCAAAACTAAAACCTCAGTAAACTTGGCGTTCATCACTTCAGTCAGCCGGTTGCCACCACCCAGGCCTCTCCTGCCCAAGTCTGAGCACCAGCTTTCCTGGACAGACGGATCCCGGAATCAGCGAAGCAGTGTTGGCTGCTTGCGCCCAGAGATCTTAGCGCACCTACCCCACCCAACTCTTGCCTTTTCCATATCCCTCCTACTCGCTGGCAGTGTTAGAGATAAGAAGACCTCTAGGTTTTCTGGGTAGGAAATGGAGTACTGTCCCGCCAAGTTGACCTGATGACTCCCGACAGGAAATTGAACAGCGACTCCAGCAGCAGGCAGCCCTCTCCCCCACTGCGGCTCCAGCCGTGTCCAGTGTCAGTAAACAAGACACCATAATGAGACATCATACGCTTCGGCAGGTGAGGTTCTCTGGGAGGGCTCGTCAGCCGTGGGTCCCATCATGTCCTTTTTCGGTGGGAAGTCATTCTGCTCTTCTGGGCTCCCATACCCTTCCCTCCCCCTTGTCCCTTGGGTGGCGGCAACGTCGTGATCCACCGTCTGCTCACCGTTGCAGGCTCCACAGCCCCAGAGCAGCCTGCAGCGTGGCATACCCACCTCTGCCCGTTCCATGCTTTCCAACTTTGCGCAGGCGCCCCAGCTCTCTGTGCCCGGTGGCCTCCTCGGGATGCCAGGTAAGAAGTGCTGCTGGGACCGGCTCCCTGGGCAGACAACTTCTGTTTCTGCTCTCTCTTTAGGCCCCCTCCCTTCACTCTGTTATTTGGCAAGTGTTGGCTAAATTCATAATACATTCAAGACACAGCACACTGGGGTTTTGGTAGTGAAAACGGCCCAGTCCCTGCCCTTCCCGGTTCGCTGTCTGGTACGCCCTGTTGGTGGGCGTGTGGTTGCTGATTTCTTGGGGAGAAGAGCAGGGTGCTGTCTGAGTGATGGAGGGATGCTTCTTCACAGTCGGCAGCCCCAAACCCAGAGCTGATTCCGTGAGTGCATCTCTTTGCCTTGGTTAATGCCCTCTCACCACTGTTTTCTGACTCTCCCACCCCTTCAAGACCGTGCTTATTATATTCCTGGTAGGACCGAAGTGTCAAGAAGACCTTGCTCCCTAAAGCTGGGGTGCAGAGGGGCCGTTGGCCGCTGACATAAAGCTTCACTGAGTCTGCACAGGTGCAGACGGCTTCTGCTGCTTCCTCCCCAGCTCCAGCTCCGCGCCCCCGGCTGGCGCGGTCCAGAAGGTTCCACCGCCTCTTCTAATGCCTGCCCCCCCCCCACCCCGCTTTTGTCTCCTGGGTCCAGGTGTCAACATCGCGTACTTGAACACCGGCATTGGAGGACACAAAGCTCCCAGTCTGGCAGACCGACAGCGGGAGTACCTTTTAGACATGATCCCTCCCCGGTCTATAGCGCAGTCCATCAGCGGGCAGAAATAACGCCCGCCCCTCGTGCTGCCCAGCCTCGAACCCTCTGCCCCCTCCCGTCGCCCCCAACGTCCGTCGCATGCAGTGCCTGTGCTGGTGCCTACCATACACGGAAAACAAAACAGAAACAGAAGACGACCCTAGAAACCGACAGGAAAACGCGCGCCTGCCCCGCCGCCCCTTCCTCCCACTGCTGCGATCCTGCTGCTCTTGTCTTCTCTCCGGTTTCCGCTCACAGTGAGGTGCTCTTCGCCTCTGGTAGAGGTCAGAGTGAGGTCCTGGGGAGACATCTAAGCCCTCTGACGCGTGTTTCTAAAGTTTTTATGCTATAATTATTGTCATTTTTAACGATGTTGTGTGTCCTCCCTTTGTTCAGTGGACGGTTAAACCTTTTTATTTTCCCTCAATATTTTTCTTTTTCTCTTTTCTTTTGCCTTTTTTTTTTTTTTTTTTAAACACAGATGACATTCAGATAAATGACAGGAGCATTGCAGGGGGTTCCCCAACGGGACGTGACTGGGAGTGTTGGGGGCAGAAATTTTTAATGCACTTAACCTGGGGTGGGGTGTTGGCATCAAACAGAGGACGTCAGCCCTGGGTGTCTCTGGTCTGGACAGTCTGGGAGGCAGTGTTCATACTGAAGTTGGGCTCTGAGAATGAGGGGAAAGATCCTGGAGGGAGAAGCTTTAATCCACAGAGAAGGGGGCAGGGACATATGAGGACAAGCCAAGAGGAACGGAGGCTGGTCTTGGCCTCCTGGATGCTCTCCTGGTCCCAGTGGAGATGGAAGTCTCTTCCAGGTCAACTAGCCCAAAATTATTTCATCTTATTTGCTTTGTAAAATTCTGCCCCTCCCCCCTGCCTTTTTAATCCTAATCTGCTCCTGGCAAGAGGGAAGCGCAGCCCCATTGTAACCGAGTTAGCTGGTGTCCTAGAAGTGAGACAGAGGAGGGAAGAGATGGATTGGGGTTGGGGGCGGGGAGACGAAGGGCTTTGTCTCCCAGCAGGTGAGACCCCATCTGTCTTTCCCTCCACCCTGGGTGCCAGGTGCCAGGAGGGGAGGGCAAGGAGGCCTGACCAGCTCAGAGTCCGGCACTAAGTGCAGTACCAGCTGCCCAGAACCAGACACCTCTCGTTAAAACCAGCTCTGCACCTCTGTGCAAAGTAGCTGTTGTCGCCCCCCCCACCCCACCCCCCCAGAACTCTATTAATTTTCCTTTTGTGTTGTTTTCAGCTTTTTCTTAAGCGCTACTAATGTAGAGAATGAACCGAATTGTGCAATGTTGCTGTTCTGGGGTCAGGGGAGGTTAGCATCCCATCTGCCCACACCCTGGGGGCAGGGGGCAGGGACCAGGCTGGTTTGAGGTAAGGGAAGCCCCTTCAAGGTGGGGGTTTCTGCTCTCCTGTAATGTTCACTCACCTGCCTGTGCCGCTCTAGAAGCTGCCAGAGTGCGGGGAAGGGGGGAAGGGTTACTTGGAGCAGAGAGGTGTGAAGACTGGAGTTTGCCCTTGAAAGCCACCTGGAAAAATTCCCCCACTTTTATGTTAAGAAATTAAATAATTTTTTTAAAGTAAGAAGGCACTTTTAAAATTAACACACACACACACATACACAAACTGCACACCTTCCCCATAAAGTTTGGGGGTTGGGGGGGTGGAGAAGGAGTTGGGATCAGGCTCAGTACCCCCCTCTCCCATACCCCAGAGCCACTGCGGGTTACTATACTGGCCCTACGGGCCTCCCTGGGTTTTTTCTTTCCTCCCTTCCCCCAAATTCATTGAGCACTTAATAAAGGAGCAGAGATGCAGCCTGTGTCTGGGCTCCCCCAGTGGTGAAGTGATCTGAAGCTAGATGCTAGTAACAGATGATGATGGGGCTGTTCGGAGTATTTTTCAGGGGGAATATGGTACCCCTGACTGTAAGTGGTGGGAGAGGGAGGGGGGTTATGAAACTGGGTCTGGGATTATTTTAAAATTATATATATATATATAAAGATATATTCTTACATCTTTTCTTTACCCTCTGTGCTTTGAAAGCACTGGATAAATCGTTTGGTTTTGCTTTTCTCTCTTCCACGAATTTGGAAGCTCTCCCCCCCCCCCCCCCCCGCCCAAGTCATCTTGCCTTGTGGCATGTCTGTCTAGCCTCTTCCACCCCGCCCACCACGATGAAGTGCCATTTCTGTTATGTCTCCCCTCCCCCAGCTCGGAGGTACCAGGTGCCCAAGCCTGTCACTTGAGATTAAAAGTAAGGAACAGAGAATGTGCAATACCGTCTGGTTGGGGGCCATCCCTGCCCTGAGCTGAGCCTCCTCCCTGGGAGCCAGGCCACCTTTGAATGGGGTTTGGAAGTAGGATGTGTAGACAAGAGGGGAGTAATGGGGAAGGAATGCCCAGCCGAGTGCCTGCCAGGGTGCTGAGGTAACGGGGGTGGATGGAGGACAGGGGGAGCCTTCCCTGCTTCTGTCCCCTCAGGCTCAGTTGCATAGAGGCTGCTTATCGACTAGTATAGCTCCGTGACCCTTTGCTCAATCGCTGAGGTTTGATTTCTTAGCCCTCCTCCCCATTTTCATACCCTTCCCTGGGATTCGTGATGGGGGTGAGTTTTCCTTAATCATGGTGAAGTATTAGCCTTCCACCTCCTTCCTTGCTCCCCACCCCCATCCTTCTGTCTTCCTTATTTCTCTAGTTTTTCATCACTGATCACCTTGTGTCCCTGCGAGTCTCTTGTTGCTCTCCATCCCCCGGCTGGGCCCATAGACACTAAACCTCATGCCTAAAGATGGGAGGAAAACGCTCTGTTCAGAGTTATCCTCTCCCCCAGAGCTCTGAAGCTCAGGGGACGACTAGAGTGAGGACCCCCCTGGTTCTTCCTGGCTTCCTCCGTATCCAGAGGCTCTCCAAGTGTAGTGGTTTATGGACAGTGGCTTACTCCCTAGACGCCCAAAATGAGTAGATGAGCAGGAAAGCTTGGGTAAAGCTGAGGGACAGAGGTCCTCATTTGTCAATTTTTTTTTAATTTTTAATTTTCATTTTCTATTTTTGTCATTTGACCACAGCATCTGGACTTTTCTCCATCCCTGGAATAAGTATTTTTCCACATTTTTGGATGTATGTATGGTAGACAATTTTTTTTTAAGACACAAAGATAAATGTTTTCCAGCTTTGGTTACCTTTCCTTTCCCCTTTAAAAGGACTTAGCTATAGAGCCGCTTTGTAAAGATGCTTCTTGGTATTTTACTTTTGCCCCTTTCCCCAAGCACTCCTTCCCCCTAACCCTCCTCTCCACACCCCACCCCACCCAGCCCTAGGCTCCCCCGCCCTCCAACAAGACCTTCATTAGCTTATGATACTTGCTGCCGAGATGTTATAACAAGGACTCATTCGTGTATATAAGCTATTTCTTGATCCATTTAAAAGGAATTGTACATTGTGTAGGAAAAAAAAAAAACCTGAAAAAGAGAAAAAAAAGCCCTCGCCATGGATATTGTGAAACTGTGTTATGTCATTTTGTAATGTGCCCGTTTGTGTATGATCCGTGCAAAAGGGTTTCTGGGGAAGGGGCGGGGGTAGGGAGGCAGGGCTGTGGAGGGTGAGGCGGGGAGTGGGCCGGGCCCAGCGCACTGAGACTGGCGGCTGCTCCAGCCCCACCCCTCCTTAGAGATGCCACCTCCCCCGCCACCCACCCCTAATTTGTGCCTTGCCTCCCGCCCTGGAGTAGTCCTCCGGGTCACCAGCACTGCCTTGGCAGAGCCCACTCCCTACCCTAACCTGCCCCCCTCCCTACACCCCAGCATTAGGTGGATACTGTGGGGAAGTGCTGGGGGGTCGGGAGGTAGCCGAGGAATGGGGCAGTTCCCGGGGGCATTGAAACCAAGTATTATTATGAATTGTAACTGTATTTGCACTGTTTTTTTTCCTCTGATTGCATCAGCATATATACAATATACCTATATAACAAAATTCAGTGTCAAGCTTTCTTATGCAAGGGATTTCCCCCACCCCACCCCCCCAAAAAAGAACCTAGTTCCATGGGTCTTTGAGAGTAGATTATCAAGGGGTGATAGAAAGGATTTTAACAAGTCATCCTAAGAAAGCCTCACGTACGGAGCCACATACATCTGCACACAGTTTTCGGCTTCGTAAAAATTGGGGTGAGGTGGGTCACCATGAAAGCTAGAGTTCCTGGTCTGGGCCGTGGAGAGTGAAGCGCCACAGCACACGGGGTGGGGTGGCAGCACCGTCCGGAGACCTGGGGTTCTGGCCCTGGGCTTTCCCACTGACTTGCTTTGTGACCTATGGTAGAGTTCATTTTCCGGGTCTCGGTTTTCTTGTTTGTGAAGTGACAGGGGAGATCACCTGGCCACCAAGTGTAAAATTCTACCTGATGCTTCCTTCCTCACCTGCAAAACAACAGCTTGAGGTGGGGAATGTGTGGGGCTGAAGATGCAGGGAGGACACCTACACGTTGAGGTGCAGTGTGTGACCATGCCCGTGAGGGCTGCCAGGCCCCTGCCAATACTTTGGTTTTGGGAGAGGCAGCAGAGTGATGTCTAGACATCAGGAGACCTGTGACTGCTTTGCCCTCAGACCCTCGACCCCATCACAAGCAGCCACAGGGCCCTTGGGGTGCTTGAGCAGTGGTGCCCAGGCTGGTGGTCTAGTCACGCACACCCTTTGTGAGCTGCAGGGTGCAGAACTTGCCCATCTTCTTGGTGACAACGTAGCAGAGCTCAGATGCACCCCAGTTCTTGTCTCCTTCAGAACTCACGTGAGCCCTTGCAGGCGGCTCCCCACAGCCTGGGCTGAGGCTCCCACACTCCAGGCTCCTAGCCGGGGAAGCCTGGAGAGAATCTGGGAAGGTGGCTGAGGCCTGGCGAAGGCTGGGGCAGAGCAGGGTTGGGGCGGGGAGCGGGGCTGGGGCGGGATGGGCCTCTCTGAATGGGGGTGGGGGGGGCAAGACCCTTTTGCACAGGCTCTAAGTTTCCTTTTTTTTTTTTTAACTCATTCTGATTTTCTGCATTGTGTTTGGAAATTAAAATGAAAAAACTAAGACCAACAGAAACTGGTTTTCAAAAAGGCAAATACACTCCCATCTGTTTCAGATGCTGCTGAG